GATGCATTCCCGGCAGAGGTGTTGTTGAAGCTGTCTGGAAAGTTCGACGTTGAAGCCGACTCAGACAACGACTGGTTTCTCTTCCGATTAATGATCTCCCGGGCATCAAGAGTTGATTTTTTACTTCTCACCGGCTGTTGAGTCCGGCGAGTGTTATTGGTATTCTTCCCAGGAAGGAGAATTCTTGACCAATCAATGGTCCCGGCTGCCTTCTCCTTTGGATGAGGAGTGGGCTGCCGGTTTCTGACTGACTTCCCCTTCTCTGGAGGAGTCTTCTTCGCCGACTGACCTTTACTTGGGTCAGCCCGGCTTTTGGTGATCAGCTCTTTAATTTCACCCTTGAAACTTGTCATGAATCTCATGAGTTCATCTCGGGTGACAGGGGCTGATCCAGCTGCCGCTTGGGTTTCCCCTTCCAGCTTCCCAGAGGATCGACTCCGACCCGCCTGGGAGGCACCCCGCTCCAGAGTCTCTCTGGGCCGGATGCGCTTGATTCTGAGAGAGTCGTCTTCGGCTGTAAAGGTTTCAACCTGAGGATCTTCATCCTCCTGGTCTGTAAAAACTTCTGAGTCATCGCCCAGACGGTTAGGGGGTGGTACAGACTCTTGAACCATCCTCGAGGTACTCTCCCCACAAACGGCGCCAAATGTTTTGGGTGTTTTTGTCCCTTGGGAGAGTTACAACACAAAGACTGGTCCGGGGTGAGTTGTACCTGCAAAACAAACGGAGACACCAGATGGGTGGTGCTCCGCCTCCGACGCACAAGTTAGAAACTTGAAGGGAGAAAAAAGGTACGGAAATTTAGGTAGGGATCTGCTCGGATTCCAAGCTCAGGATGTCTCTATCAAAGAGTAAATGTGTAATAAATGATCAAAACGAGTCCCCAAAAAGAGGGTCATCTCCCTATTTATAGGGTCTTTGGGATTTGTGCCCCTGATTAGGTCACTATACCCTAATCAGTGGTGGGTTGCGCCGCTTTGCGGCTTTCTCAGGATTTGGGCCTGAAGGCCGCCCTTTTTCCCCTTATTTTCTAGAGCAACACGTGTCAAGCAGAGATTGGTCCACTTTGGGCCATCCTAAGGATGACACGTGTCGTCCTCTGATTGGACCACGTGGCGGGGTAAAATTACCCTAAACACCTACAAACTTGGAAGGTGTTAGTGAAAGCCCCAACACACATTCTTATCGATGTATCATCTAATTCGAAAATTGGACATGATAGGTTGATATTAGGTTTAGGATCTAGCAAGTGCATTGCGGGTTTCATTAATTCGGGGTTGAAAGTAGACGGAGGTAAGGAGCCTAGGCACCATATCAAAAAAACTTCAAATTCATGTTTAATTGGATGGGTGTCATGAATATTAGGAAAATGAGCTAATTTTGGGGATGCATCAAACCCAATCTCACGCATGAACAAGGAGTTGAATAGGTCGTTATCAGTGTGGGTAGGGTGGATAAGAGCTGCTATTGTTTCAATTGTGAGCTCGGCCAAAATGTCGCCATCGTCATCTACAAACAAATAGTCGTATTGTGTGAAGTCTAACTCAGGTATAGAATTTTTTGGAGGTTCAAAGAACAACAGTGAAGGAGTTTGGCATTTCGTAATTGCACGACGAGGCATCGTGGGATTGAGGGGAAGATGTAACAAAAGTTTTTTTTTAAAAGGAACAAAGAATGGAATTCAGTAAACATGTTGGATTTCATTATCTATCAGCTGGACTTATATAGTAACACAAGCTTGAAAAAAGTCTTAGTGCCATTTAATAGGTTGTTGACATGAAATTCAGGTGTACGATTGGTTACATGTTTGGTAGTTATCACAATAATCGAGGTTGTTACAATATGAAGGCCAAAAATAGGTTGAAAATACCTCCACCATGAGACAAACAAAGTAAAATAATTTTCATATAGTCGACATAGATAATAAATCTCTTGTTAAACAATTACAATATGAATACTTAGAATTTTACCACACTATTAAAATTTATCAAGTTGGATAAAATAGAATCTTATTGACATTAACAACATAATCTGAAAATTATATTTCAGTAATAATTGGGTTATGAACTTTGTTTTTAATCCTCAAAATTTAATAGTACTTTTATATTGTCAAAACACAAACCTTAGATAATGGAGATTTATAATGTATTTTTATATTGTCAAAACACATACCATCCAAATTTTGTAGAATGCCACAAGATCATTACTCATTTTATGCATGTGAATTTAGGGAAAAATATAATAATTTATATACTATCTTTAATGGTAGAATGAAGCAAATAAGAAGGATATGTGGTTGATTCGTTGAAATAATAGAGGGGCACTTTATGACAAATTAGAAATTGGTGATTAATTTTAACCAACTAAATATCTAATGAGCAGTACAACTTTTACTAATAATAGTAATGTACAAAGATTTTACTCAAGAGTCGACACTAGGTTTTGTGCAAGTAAAAGATCTCCTATAACAAGTTTGTAACCACATGTCACATGACTCACAAAGACACAACTTATCCACCCTTTAGTAATAATAAAATCCGTTTTGTTTAGCTTATTTACAAAAAAAAAAAAAAAAAAAATAGAATATAAATCAAATACTACCTTCTTCGTATATATTTATTTTTTACAAGTAATAATTTTTTACACTTTCTATTTTCTAAAACAACACTGACAACATCTCATTGTTTTATTACAACAGTCTAGATAATATTCTAGAGATGTCTTTATCTAAATAAATCAAAATTTCCGTTTTTCATCCCACAAAATAATTGTTTTTTTTTCACAACCTTTCATATTTAACAATATGTTAAAATCAAACGTATGATGAAGGTATTAAGGATCATGAATATTGCTTTGATCTTTTAATAAATGATGTAACGTTCATTTATTTATATAAAAAAAATTAAAAAATAAAAACTTAACAGTGTAGGTGATTATGTCAATACTTCTTTAAAAAGAATAGGGTTAGAAATATGGAAGAAAGGGTAGTTACACGCAAAAAAGTAACGCAGACTATGCCTATTGAGTATTGATGATTACTTTAGATATTTTAGAGTGAAAATCTGGACCTTTTATCAATTGATTATATATATACCTGTGAATTTGTGATATTTCTAAAATCTTTTCTTTTATGTGTCTGAAAATCTTTTCATTTTATACAAAACGTCTGCTTTTGTCCGTAAAAAAAATATAAGAAGTTTATAATAAGTTAATAATTTATTAGTGTTTTGTTAAAAATGCAGCATGTTCGAGTGATCGAGTGAACAGGACTTGTAACCGGCAAAAAAGAAAGATGAATTATTCGTCCTTATAAAATGACACATAACCAGGTATAGAAGTCTGTTTCTGTATTATTTAGACATAATTTCTTTCATTTAGTTGTGAAAGGAAAGGAGGAATACCGAATACATGGTTCTCAAGGACTCATGGTTGTAATATAAACTAAGTAATCGCATAAGTAGGAGCTAAGTATTATGTATACTCTCTCCTTTTTTATTTATTTTTTCTTTTTTAAAATTAATAATATTTATTTTAGCTTGTATCTTTATTACCGGCAATATTTCCTTTTTTGTAATATTTTTATCTCTATTATTTTCCCAAATTGGAAAAATTTGGAAGTTCGGGGCTTACCTAAGGTCAAATACAATTAGTCGGTAGTTATAATTTAGAATAAATGAAAATGAGGTATAAAACCTATGTTAAGTAATTAAATAATGTCCAAAAATTACGTGTTTAAATAATGTATACTAAACTTATTCATACAAGCTAAGAGATACGAAATACAAGTATAATACATGACCTTTTTCTTATAGGGAAAATATGTATTTCATGTTGTATAATTACCATAGCATTATCTAATACACTAAAAACATAATTGTTGATAAAATTTCAAAATGAATTTTTAAGTATTGAAGTGATGATTTATACAAGCAATTAATTGATGAATAGCTAACATGGATGGTGTATTGGTGTCTCACAGGTGGTCCCCCGAGTAGAGGACAAAGCAGGTGATAAGAACACTACAAACTGATGTGAAGTAGTGCGCATTCGATGAAGAATTCCAAGCATTATAATTGACCAACTTTCTCAACAACAACAACAAGATGCGCAACTTATAACTTCCTGTAGCATTTACTACTATTAGGATTTTTCTCGAATTTTTTTTTTTAATTTTTTATTTGGGTTGTGTTGTGTTTATCTCCTCATTTGAGTCAGCAATAAAGTTAAGTATAATATTACTTACTTAAGTATTACGTGTTAAAAAACAAAGTGCATAATTTATAATAAGTGACCTTTCTTATCTTTGTTAAGTCCTATTTTTGAAGGGTACTTTAGTTAAGTCTAAGAATGGTTTTTTTGAAGGGTACATTTGTTAAATCAAAGATTCTTTTTTTTTAAAGAGAAGATTGCATAATTATATGTTAGGAGTCATTAGGAAAATCATGGTATAATTTGTAGTTAAGTACTTGGTGATTATTGTTGTTTCCTTAATCTTAGGAGATAATAAATTGATGGTTGGAATATTTATATGTACATATCTTTCACATTATTGTGTCTTTGTCCATATACCGTAAGATTGAAATGTATTTGTTTAAACATACAAAATATTTGTGTCTTTAAATATATATTTATATTTTTAAAAAAAAAATATACTAAAGACATACAATGAGTTGACACGTGCATGTCTATAGACTAATAATTAAGTGATAAATTTCCAAATAATTTCATTTCAGTTTAATAAAATTGAAAGGTTATCATTAAACCTTTCAATGGTACACATTAGTCATTGTAAATTAAACACTACAATCGGAAATGATCAAGGCCACAAATATAGTCCAATACATCACAAGATACCATCAAGATCACTCATCAAAGTTGATCATTAATTTTAAACATCATAGTCAAATATACTACTAAAATTCTAAAATACTTCTACTACAATACTACTACTAGAAGAAGTCAGAAACTTTAATACTAATAACATATTAAGTTCAGGATGGTACACCAAAACACTATTACTTAATAGCCGAAATATTGTTTGATAACACACAAAATGTGGTTAAAAACACCAAGGAGATGCATAAGGATGGTCAGTCAAGTAAAGCGTAAACTTAAAACATGTGGATCCATTTGAACCAACTCAACCAAAACCTTCTCACCGAGTTTAACACCTTCGGCGTCCATGAATTCTTTGACTCCTCTCTTGATGCTGCAAGCTACAATGCTGCCTTTGCAATCATAATAAATATGCATTGTTGCATCATAGGTCGAAGACAATACCAACTTAACTTCACATGGGTCTTCGAGGTCTCCAAAATGTGCTCGAGCAAAGGGAGTCGGAACGTTCTAAGTCATACAAATTAAAACGATATAAAAATGATATACACCGTAAGTCAAACAATAAATTGCAACGCAGCCACAAGTAATTGAAAAACGATTTACTTACAATTGTCGGTTTGTCAATGTAGCCTTTAGTGAAATGGAACATGAAGGAGGGGGTTTGGTTCACTTCTACCCCTTGAACGCTTGGTTTTTCAGCTGTTAACTCAATTTCATCACGCCAGATCCTTACCTTATACACCAATTCCTCCAAATCCTCTACTGACAGCAGAATAGTGTCTCCCAATTTCAAGTTTTTTGAGCTTACAAAGTCCCCCATCCGTCACTTAAATAAGTTTCCACCAGACCATCACCCCAGGTAATATCTTTCAAATGCACAATGTATGTGTTTGGGTCACTTCCAACTTGAAGGTGGAATTTTGCTTCACGTTGATCATTCGACCTGGAACAAATTTCTTTAACCCGACGACTCATACGCATTGGAAGAGGCTGGATAGGAAAAAAAAAACCTTTAATAACATTGTTGAGCATGGTAGTTTTTTTATAAACTACATGAAAACAATAATATTTCATTATAGACTCACCACATTTCGTAAGCGTCGACGAGTGTCGATTGTGAACTCAAATCTCCTAATTGACATTCTTCTTCAACCTAATCAACGTAGATCCCAAAACTACAAATTAGTTTATTAACAACGGTAGGGTATACTAAGTAGACTGACAGAATCTAGTTGAATAGATTATATAACACATAAAGACAGATGTGTATGTCCAATTAAAGATCTACATTTGGTAAATATGATAAAATAACTCATCCACATTTCAAGGACCACCTAGAAATACTCAAATAAAGATTCACCACACAATACGAGTGTTTGACATAACAAAAATAGAAAATCAACCATATATCCTCTTAGTGGACTTAACTTTTAATCATAATCTACAAGTATGCTATAAATCAACCAAAAATTGAATTATCTAACACATTTTTTCATAATGGTTAAGCACAAAAGGGAAAATTGGGAACACCAACTCTACTAGAACAAAAAATGTAATAATTTTCAGATGCTTTATCAACGAACATACATATACTAATACAAACAAATCCATCAAAACTCACTAAAACTACCCCAAATTGTACAAAAGTCGAACAATCTTTGGAGTATAGTATCATATTCTCAAATTCAAGCCCAATTTTGAACATCTCCAAACCGTATTCCATATTTTGCGCAATAAACATGTCATAATCGTCAAAACTAAAATTATACTTACAAAATGTAACCAATTTACCTCATTCATACATGGTTTTATGTAATTACTTGAGCAAATTAACTACAAATCAGATCGCATAAATCGTATGTTGCATGTACTAAGAAAAGCAAAACAAGATAGCTACGGAAATGAGGAACTCAATGAAAGAAAACAAAGAATCAAGAGGGAGAGAATGTTACTTGAACAAAGGATGAAGGTGAGCAAGTTTTTGCTTGGAGTCTTACCTCTTGCCGCCGAATGAGGAAGGAGAGAGAGTGAGAATGAGATAAAGAATGGAAATGGGTTAGGGTTTCAAGGGATATGGACCTTTTGGGGAAAACAAATTATAAAAAAAAAATCAGAAAAAAGTTACAAATTTTTAGTGAAGGTAAGGGATAGGATTCGAACCCTACACCCTGCTGCAAATAGTGAATAGGGACGTGGAGAATGTTGACATTTGAGGAATTATTAAAGTTACCAAAGTTTTAGTTTACATAATGGGGATTAACTTTGACTAAAAAATATATATTTATATTTGTAAAAAAAAAATGTAACATAAACTATAAACAAATTCGTATGTACAATACTTGTTATACATCCACTATATAGGTTGACTAGATACAACAAATGATACCCTTAAAAGTAAATAAACATTACCCTAACGTGCATAAAAGTAATTCAATAAAAATGAAAATTATTAGTAAAGAGTGACATCTTAAATGACTAAAAATCAAGTATTAGTGATTAAGTCTAATTAAATTGCCATTATAAAACTTCTTATTGTCTATTTATATAAAAAATGTATTAATTTTAATGTGTTAAACGATTTTGGATACTTCTAGCAACCCCAACGATTGTAGCTAGGGTGTTGCTTGAAATTTCATTAATTACGAACCTACTTGTTTGCCCGTTAGACCACGAGTACGCTATTAGTTTGGCTAACCAAATTAGCTTTGCCAAGCCACTTATCTTGAGAATTAGAGTGGACAAAATATATTGTTCAGGGGCATATTTATTAACCGCAATCCTTGTTTTTTTTATATTGCAATTACTACTAACCTAATAGCTAGTCATTGAAGCATATGGTAGTTAAATTGATGATTTGATTAAAACCGTAGGTTCAATGACAAGCTATTTGTTAAAATATCTATCTAGTGAGGTGCTATTAGTTATTAGTTATGGAATTAACTAACCTTGTTGACTTGAGGAAAATGTCGGAAAAAATGTCAATTACGAGGTTTAAGTGAATAATAAATATCTTAATATTAAACAACTCGACCAGTTTTGTACTGTGTGTGTAGATACTTAATCAATAATCAGATTCCATAACTATAAACTAACATACACAACATCAATGATACTACTCATATGCTAGTGTGTCCCAAACAATAGACTCTATTATTTTTTTTATAGTGATTTATTTATCACTTATTTTATACGGTGTATATATATGAAAACAACAACAAAAATAATAAAAAAAAAAATTAGAATTTAGATGTTATTGACTGAAATGATTAATTTTCTATTTCATTGATAACCAATACTTAATAAACAATGTGTTTTGGACACATTTCCAAACAATAATTACAGATGCAATGACATTTGATTATTAGTTGTTTAAATTACAAAGATATAATAAGAAATAAGTTGTTATTGGAATTTTTATTACAATAGTATTATTTGAGGTTGGTTGGTTTTGAACGAAATAATAGGGTCAGGTCATCTTCAAATCAATAGTACAGAGGTTTATACATATTCACTTTAACGGACTAAAGGGTCTATTCTTTTGAGGTTATGTGAAGAGCGGAGGATACTACACAAGATCATATGAATTGACTATTAAGATTATTATTATTAATAATGTTATTCACTGCAGGTTAGGGCAGAGTTGAGCGAGGCATAGCAAATAGAAGCGGACCAGAACATTTAGAAACTGAACAGAGCATAGCAGATCACCTTTAAATAACCGGTCTAATCGGTGTTTATATGATTATACTGCATTTAAAAAAATTGATTTTTAAGTTAAACCCTATTTTTCAAAAATAATAATTATTTTAACACTTATGGCAAGGAACCAAATCTAATTTCATAAAGAATGGTTTAAAAGTGTACTTTTTCAATCTTTGGATAATTCTATGGAACTGACAAATACTAATGACATAAAGATGAATGTCTTAGAGCATTTATGATAATAAGACAAGTGTCCCCTTTCTCCTTTAACGAGGCTACCAAACTTTTGTCTTTAGAATTTTTTTTTTTTGTTTTTACTTTATATAACTTTTTTTTTCCCTTTAAAACAAACGACTTGTATTATTATTATTATTATTATTATTATTATTATTATTATTATTATTATTATTATTATTATTATTTATTATTATTATTATTATTATTATTATTTTTATTATTTTTTTCTCAATACCATACAAAGTTATACAACTTATAGAAAAATAGTGGGAAGTCGAGATACAATCTGGGCCCCCACTCCTCTAGTTATAGAAAAGCCGATCCTAGTCAAGATATGGGCTACATCACACGCTTCAGTATCATGAGTCTTCGAGAACTTCTGGATTCACTTAAACAATGCAACGACCCCCTTTTCTAACTCCCCAACAGAAGAGAAAGAAAAAGGAAGGAACCCACATGCGATTGCTATACAACTGGATACGTACTTGACCCGCTTCCATTATCATGAGTCTTCGAGAACTTCTGAATTCGCGCAACAACCTCATTTTGTAACTCCCCAACAGAAGAGAAACAGAAATAAAAGAAGGAAGTAACTCCCCGTCCAGGAACAAAGCCAGAAAGCCCCATACTATGTCCCGTTCCCAAAGAGTTACTCGTTTTTCCCATAAATATTCAATGTTTTACAGATTTCAAATTAAGGATATTTATTTTCGGAGTACGTTGTGTTATGGATAATAACGCACTATGTATTTCATATTTTATCTCCTTTCATGATTGGTCATTATGGAAATCAAAATGTGGAAAAGTATTGAATATCTATAAAACAAGCCTTGCTAAATTCTAATCTATCTCCCTTAACCATAAGAATTTCATTCTTTTTAATTTGATATCTTGAAAACCATTTCTTTTATTCTTTCCTCTTGTACCACCCACCATTCTATTCTTATATTTTTTCCTTATCCTACCCCCTTACATACAACTACACTAACAACTTAAGAATTTTTAGTAATTGCCATGCACTAATTTTTCAGTTAATGATTCTACTCTAAAAGATCTTGAATACGAATCTCATCGAACACATTCTTTATTATTTAAAAATCATATATTGTTATCACCTCTCCGTATATGCATTGTATAATTCAAAGTTACATTTTCAACACATATACTCGCTCCGTGCCCTTTTGATAGTCCCTTATGTATAAATTTTAGTCCCAAAATGTACAACCCATTTTGTTTGCTTCCAATAAACATTTATTTTGAATATCTAATTATCAACACATGAACTCCATAACAATATCGAATGGCCCTTCAATCATACAAGGTGATTTGGGAATCAAGTGTAAATGGACACGATTATTTTATACAATTTTTTATTTACCTATCTTATACCTCCAGTAGTGTCAACATGCTTGTAAAACTTGCACCCATAAGGTATGGGTCATCCCTATTATATGTGGATCCAAAAATGGCTGGGCCAAGTACACCAAGTAAACTATTAGGCCCATTCTCACCTTGTTTGGTTTAATTGTACATTTCTTGGGAGGTATAAACATCCAACTTGTTGTATATTTATGGCCCATTTAATTGATTGGGTCCACCCAATTTCACATTTTGTCCTAAGTCAAATTTAAAGTTAGTTTACCACAACCTACTATCCAAAACAACTTTGTAAAGTATAAGCCTATCAATACTAATCATTGGAGATTTATCAACACGTGAATTACAACTTTTTCTTAACCGTATTTAAATACTAATAATAAAAAGAACACCCGTTACATATTTTACAAAAACGCCACAATGATCATGTACGAGTGTCACAAAATTATTCGGGTTGGTTAAGATATATTGTCCATAATCCGTTTTGTGCCCGACAAATGGGGCCCACTTCCAAATCTTTATCGTTCAAATCAGTGGCGGATCTTGAAAATTTTTCCAAGGGGGGCCAAATTACCTTAATATTATTAATTATACAAATACATTAAAACAAATATAGTAAAGTATATTATCACCTTAATATTTATTACTTATTATACAAATACCATAAAAATAAAATAATCACTAATATAATTCTATTTCAATTAGAAATTAACCTTTGAAACTACTTTCATAACTCTTAACTTCAAAGGGTGGATAGATAAAAGTATTATTTGTTATGAGATTTATGAGTAATAAATAAAAATCAAAATATTAGTTAGTTCATTAGCTAAGACTAAAAGTCTGGACAACAAAAAAAATTGAAGAGATCTAATAATTCAAGGCATTGAAATTTTGGACAAATATAATGCTTAAATAGAATAACAAAAAGAGATAACTAAAAGGGAAATGTTGTAATTTTGTGTAATGCAAATAGCTACAACAGTAGTAACGTGTGGTTCTTTTGCTGTGGAATTTGTGCAAAAAAGATAAAGTGAAAAAGTCATATACTGTAGTATGACATATACTCCTAGTAAGCTTGGACGTTTGGTACCAACTTCTTTGGGTGACTTTTGGGCTTTTACTGGACATTGAATATAGAAACAAATTTGGGCCAAATATTGAGGGGGGGCCAAGCCCTTGTCCGCCCCTTCAAAGGTCCGCCCCTGGTTTAAATGCTTACTAGAAATATGTACAGTTTACCAAATCCAGAATAAGTTGATTACTTGAGCCCAAGATAGGTTTTGTATTTGAATTCATGTTGCCTTGTATAATTACCTGTTTAGTTATTTGGTTAGGAACAACTGTGATGGAGATATTCCTTTATCTGATTACAAAATCTATCGAAAAACAAAATTTTCAATAACTACGAATCATTGTCGTGCGTTTGTAAGGCGTACAAATACCGTCACCTTTTGTAAAATACAATTAATTATTGTTACAGTTACACCACATGTTAACTTAAGCATAGCGATAACCAATATGTTTCTTTGTTACATTATTAGCATGTTCAACCTTGGTTCTTCCTTGACGACCAGAGCGCCTTTGCCTTTCAGTTTTAGACCCCATCACCTCGGAGACATCCTACAACACAACGATACAACCCAATGATGTATTAATGAAACATATGTGGCCAAATACAATTTCGCTTTCAGTACAAAGTGTAAATAAAAAACTCACTCTAAGCACAACATTCTCAACTGGTGCTTCAAAGTCCCTAGCAATCCTGTAATGACTCTCTCCGTAGGCAACATCAACCAAATGCACAAAAATCAAGTAACTCTAAGCAATACTATAAAAATTTCCGTTTCCCTTGTAAATATTCAACAACCCTCAAACATGTGTAGATGAATAATACGAAGTACAGTTGTTGATTAGAATCTAACCCCTAACCTCCCGTAGTCCCCATATCTTGTCCGGTCCGCCTTCGCTGCCATTGAGATTGCATGCTTGGTCCACACCTTTATCCTAGGGAACACATCCCATTGTAAAGAAGGCCCATTTAGCCTGTCGTGATAAAAAATCTGTAATAAAAACATCATCAATTCATAATCACAAAATCCTTCACTAATGTCAATTAACAAAAATTGATACATGTTTGCATCGTACTCACAACAGCAAATATCGCACATCCTCCACATCCACCAGCATATCCAGTTGCATAGAAACGCCGAGCAAAACTGGACACACTAGCCATCAATTTCTTCAACACCAAATCACTCCAATCATACTCCTTACAGTTCTTGACACAGCTAACAGCCGGTATTAAATCTGTGGCTAGCCGAGGTGATTGGGTTGGACACATTACCATATGCAGCAAAAGGATAAGAAATAGTGTCTTGAATTCCTCTTCCTCATCTTCACCAAAGTTTCCCTCTAATCTATCCATCATTTTACTAGTTACCGGAATACCGACAGATATATAAACACTTCCACATCCTCTACTAGATTTTGTTTTCCATGAACTCCCATATTGGAGTATCACCTTATGAACCTTCTCACGAACTTCATTGTTCATCATTTTAGAACTTGGCACGGACTTGTTACCACTGGGTGTACCTAATATCCATCTAACTTGATTCTTTGACAGCGGAAACTCATGTCCATCTGGAGCAATCAAGATCCTATTAAGTGGATCAATTCTAGTCATAATCCAATACGATAATTGTCTTGGTACATGCATGTCTGACACAAGATGAAGAATGCCTCCAAACGCCATCTCATTCACCCATCTAGTCCTTCTTTCATCAAATTTCTTACAAATACGCCCAAATGACTGAATACGGCAATTGATACTCGGTGGCTGAAAACATAAATCAAAACCCCCAACTCATCATTATGACCAACACACACAAACTATTGTTTAAGAAATTAAAACAACAGTTTGTTCCTAAATAGAACAAGTCAACAACTCCTTATTAAAAACTTGGGACTTGCATATAGTGTTGGACAAAGTGGATCATAATAGTTGAACAAGAAACCTGGAATTCAACTACAACTCATAGTTTTAGTCATTGATGTAACTGAAATTTATGTACCATCATATACCTCAATTTAAAGTAATATCAAGTGCAAATTCAATACTAGCGCACTTACTCTACAAATTGATCTGGAATGCTCCCTCAATACTTGTCCCTTTTCCTTAAAGACACCTCCCTTGCTCATGCTATTGTCCTACTTAATGCATTGCAAGAGATTAAATTAGCATTTTGAAATTGCCTATGTTAATATTATTCAATGCGGGTGAAACGAACCTTAAAGAGTGCAGGGTGTAGTTCTATTGTCTTTCCACAGCAATGCTCATTCCTAATCTGCACAAAAAGGAAATTCTTTGTGGATAAAATACTAAACTCTTACAACATTTGAGGGCATATAATAGATTCAGAGTCATTATACCATACATCATTGTTTTCCATTTCAACGACTTCCCACAATCGCTTCCTCATAAATTCAGTCTTGGAACTGCATATAGTGCATATAGAGTTATAGACGCCACAACATGTTTACTTGAAGATAAGATTTGTGAAGGTTCATGTTTTAGTCAATTCAAACTACTATATGTAATTAGCTTTAATTTCACAAATTCATACAGCATCATTACATTGAAACAACTACCAATTACACTTTGACTACAAGTTTAAAGAACAAGTACAACACAAGTATAATTATAATGAACTAGCGAAGCAAACATTTATGAGGAAACCCTAATCAACACACATCATATCCCAGATAGCCCACCCCTCACCCCCCCCACCACCGCCTAACCCCCCACCACACACACACACACATGATTCTAATTCCAATTCATTACAACCATTGAATAAGAGACACCTACACCATCCCTTTTATTTCAAACCATAATCACAACCTTTTAATTAAAATTTTAAACTCTAATTTTACCAAAATACACAAACGCTTGTTTTGTATAATTAAACAACACAACTTAATGTTTTTTCGGATTTCCGTTTCAACCCAATTGTTTTGTGTAAGTAAGCAAGCAACACACTTTAATCAATTTTCAAAATTTTTAATTCCATTTCAACACCAACTCTTGAATTTTATGTTTCCGCAACAATTTAACAAAGTCACACAAAAAAAAACTTAACCTAAAAATGCGACTTACATCGGATATTTGATACGGTCTGGCCGGTGCTTCGCACTCCGGTGTCGGTCGGTGAGCGCTATATCGGTGAAGTAGATCCAACTATATCTCCCTTGCACAAATCGCCACTCGATGCATTTATTCTCTTTTCCCTTTTGAATAGTGAGGATAAAGACGACGTTATGTTAACAGTGGTGACTGTGCGCGATGACCTGTTCATTGAATACACGTGAGCTAACACATCACTGCAAACCTGGAGTCCACGTATAATGGATATTACCTGTATACCCTTATGATGAACAAGGTTCGTTCATCATAAAGATGAATATGAATTTTGCGGTTTAAGAGCCTAATAAAAAACAAAAAAGAGCCTAATCAATTTTGAGATTTATGTGATATTTTTGTTTTTGGTTTCTTTAGCCGCCTAATCAGCAAACAGTAGGTGTAGGGTATAGTTTCAATCCTTTAAAATCCCACAAGCTCGAACCCCACTATGATCATACACTAAAGTACGGTGGCGTCCAAAAGGGAAGAAGATAGAGCAAAAGAGTCGCCAACAAGTTTTTAAGGAACTTGTAAACCGTTCACGAGGTGAAGATTACACCCCTTAACGATCCAAGAGATCGTCAACTCCATAAGGTCATGAACCAAAATAGGGTTCGTGGATGATGGTACAAATCCAACCTAAAAGAGATTGAACCTGCCCTAATAATAGGCCTCTACTTTATTCTGATCGTATTCATGTGCGCTTTCTGACTAACATACAATCAATAGGATTAACCCTAAACCTGTTTAATCTATGTTGGTTGAATTTAATGCACAAACAAACTATTATTGGCGATCACTTGAATTATAATCACAATTAACCCTAACAAGATTATTAATTATCTTATTAAGCGTGATTACAAGTACCAATTCCCTTTAACATGCAATAAAAGGTGATCAAGCAATAAAGAATAAAATAATATGCATATCAAGCAACATAATAAATAACATCATTAATAATAATAATATCAATCATAATTAATCATAATCATGTTAAAGCATAGCAAGATCCTAGGCATGATACTAACAAGATTAATAACAAACCCTAGCATGTCACTAAGCAATAAAAATCAAATCCTTAACCCTAACATGATACTAACATGAATTAATATTAGGAAGAACATAGGAAGCATCATAACAATCATATTTAATATTAAAAATATCCTAGACATGATACTAGGAATATCATAATAAAAATATAAACATGATTTCTACATTATAATATCGATTAATCAATTAAAAGTACTTACTTTGATGCTTCGTACCTCTTTCTAATAACAAAATACACACGTTAGTAACTTCAAGGAAAATAATAATCAAAGCAATTAAATTAAATAATTGAAAGAGAGATTTGGGACCAAACCCTCAGAAATTAAACCTTCCACGTCTAGGGCGAAGGCGACTTCGAATATGGCTAGGTGTTTCTAGATCTTGCGAATGCGGAATTTTGTATTTGAGAAAAGGCTAGTTTAGAAAGAGAGAGAGAGAGAGAGAGAGAATAATCAAGAAAATCTTGATGAGAGTTGGTGATTGAAAAAGGGGAGATATGATCTTTATTTATAGGAAAAAAGAGGGTCGAAGAATTAAGAAAAGAATCCAAATTCGAATCGAAATAAAACTCGTAGACATCAGTTTTTTCGGATTTTGTTTTTATCATATCGTTTGATCCAGGATTCGGAATAAGATGAATAAGATGTCGTTGGAAAGATCTTGAAGTCTACTTTCTAACCCAATTAGAATCAGATTAAAATATGTTGTAGAATAAAAGATATGAACGAAATAGTGAGATGGTGTCAGTTTTGGATAGAGTTTGATATCTTATTCATATATTTTCCGTTATAGCTCGGATTTAATATTATAATATATCATTGGAAAGATAATTTCAAGATCTATCCAACCATATAAAATTTGGATAAAAATATGAGGCACGAAAATAATATCTGACTGTCTTTGAACATGTTTAAATCCGAATAGAATTAGGACTTTTAAAAAAAGGAAAGTTTTATAAGAAAAGGAAAGTTTATATTTAAATCAAATTTCTTAATCTTATCTTTTCAAAAAATGATAATTAAGATATTTTAGAAACATATAGAATATTCTAATCAATCCTAATTATTTTAGGAATAGGATTAAACCTTTGGACCCTCCTCATGATCATTGGGTCGTAGGCAAAATCCGGTTTGGGCCCAGTTTAGTATTTTGGCCATAACTTCCTCATTATCCATCGGAATTGGGCTTATAATATATCGTTGGAAAGGTATTTTCAAGACCCATCCAACTACACCATTATTGGACCCTTATAATGGACCAAACTAAACTGGAATGGACGTTTTCATAAAATAGAGTGGGTTTTCGAAAACAGAAAGAAAGAATTTTAACAAAATCTAACCGCAACACTAGACTTTTCACACTTTCACCTCATTCGATTATGGTTTGACGTGAAAGGTATTCATCACTGGGTTTGGTTTTGGGGAGACACAAATGGGTGTCTACAGAAACCCCCACTTTGACTGAGTTTGGAGAAACGCATGTTTCGAAAACGAAAGTCAAAGTAGCAATAGGGACGGAGAATTATTCAGAACGTTCTGCGATCCTAAATCAATCTTGTAACGCCGATACCTGCAAAACTATTGTTAGTTAAACAGATAAAAGAGTTAAGGAACGCGTATCTTGCACCGTGGAGCACACGTCTCTGAAAGTAACCGATTGTTGTTGTACTGTTGTTTTGATGACCTCCATCAAGCTAGAGAATGCCATCCTGCTTGAAAACTGCTACGCTTGTAACTGCTTCCAAATTAGAAGATTGCTTCTCTTGAAACTATCCTCTCCGTAATGATAATATTCCACATCCTAGGGAACATCATCGAAGATTATTTCTCTTGAAAGAATCCTCATCCGCATTGATAACATTCCACGTCCAAGGGAATACTATCAAAGATTGCTTCTCTTGAAACAATCCTCAGATGTTTGTGACAACTCTCCATAATCTAGGGAACGCCACCTTGCTGTTTCGATGTTCACTCGTCTCTGAACAAAGAGCTTCTTTTTTATATGTTCACGCGTCTCTGAACGAAGAGCTTCTTTTTCCCGCTGTGATAGTCTTCAAAAAGATCACTGCTTCTTAATGTTTGCTATGCCAGTACGTCGGCTCTTTGCTTCTTTGTGAAACAGTATGTCGGTGCTTTTGCTGTGATGACAATCCTCTTTTCTTTGGGAATAGTTGCCAACACAACTCTTGTATGATGAATGACAATCCAATTTAGGGAAAGTTGTCAATGCCACGTAACAATCCATCCTTGGAAATGTTGCCACGATGAAGCGACAATCCGTATCTCAGAAAATTTGCCAAAATCCAATTTTGGGAAAAGTTGCCAATGCTTCGTAACAATCTTTCATAAGAACTTTGCTACGATCGACAATCCACATCTTGGAACATAACTCTTGAAAGCAATCCACCTTGGAAATTTGCCAACGCTGTGCGACAATCCTTTTGGGAAAATATTGCCACTATTGACAATCCGCGTCTTGGAACATTTGCAAAAAAGAGTCGACCGACAATCCACTTCGGGAAAATTTGCCACTTACTGAAATGAATGACAATCCACGTTGAGGAACTTTTGCCGAAATTTATGATGAGTAGAGACCTACAACAATCCTTTGGGAAATTTTGCTATAGGGAACTGGGTGTATGACAATCCAATTTCGGAAAACTTGTCAGCGATGACAATCCGAACTTGGAAAAAATTGCCAAACAAAGAAGGAGCACGACAATCCACGCTTGGAAACTTTGTCAGAGATGACAATCCAATCTTGGAAAAATTGTCGTTGAAGAAGATGCACGACAATCCATTTTTGGAAATATTGTCAGTTGGGGGTGACGATCCAATTTTTGGAAAACTTTGTCGTTTAATAAGAATGCGCGACAATCCATATTTGGAAATATTGTCGTTTAAGTGCTTGCTTTTGAACCGATTCTTTGGCGCTTAAGCTAAGTGAGACGATTTTTTGTAAGGTCAATCACTTACTACGATTGTAATCGAGCCGACTACTAATCATGTCAAATTTCTTATAGGGGCTAACTGGCGTACCAAGGAACCTGAAATTGCTGCATGAGGTCGAAATCACCTTTCTGGGAGGCTTCGAGCTCTGTCGTTGCTGAGATATCTCTGGCGCCAGGAATTGGAGTAGGGTCTTCCCTATTCTGCTGCACCTGTATTTATTTTTGACTATAGAACTTTGCCAATATTTTTAATTATCTTAGGGTTGACCTAAGGTTTAGCGTTGCTTGACTCATTGACTTGAAACGACTCAAGGTATAAACTTGACTCGATGTGATTGACTGACTCGAGGTTGACTCGACTCAAAGTGAAATGACATGTGTGACTCAAATCAAAGTGATATGACATGACATGACTCAATTTGTACATGACTAGTGTGTGCATTGTAATGTGATCGTGCGACTCGAAAATGCAAAAAAGAAAAAAATTTCCGTCAATTTTGTGGAGGGTACCGACTTTCTCCCGAAAAAGAAAGACGTGAAAAAGAAAATCAAAAGTTTTAAGATGCATGTTGAATGAGCTTAGTCAAATGTCATTTGATACTATCTCTCAAGGTTCAAGGATTAATTCATCCTAGGTTATCTCAATTGTTGACTCAATGATGAAAGCATTTGGGTATCTTAGGCACGGAGGCTAAGCACTTCATACTTTGTGATGCAATGACAATTATGGGTGATGTTGATATGATAAGGTATGCTTCAACGTTGTGTTAAGATTTCATGACAAAGGGTTCCTAAAGGGAAGTATATTTGGTCTTGTATCTGTGCAGTGTGTGATAGTGACACTAAACCTAGGCCACAAGAGCTAAGTGTGTGGAAAAACATATTGTTAGAAGAGCCAAATAATGGTGACTCTAAGGCTAGGTAAGCTAATGATGTAAGGACCAAGCCCCCAAGTCTAGCTTTAAGTGAAAAGGGATGAGCATTGGAGATTCCTTGATATGATCATGGTGCAAGTGTGTGAATGTGAATATGAATGCATGTTTATTACGGCCGCACCTCGATGTGAGGTTGCCTACGTATCCGTTAGGAATCAGGCCGAACGTAGCTCTAGCCAAACCTCGCACAAGTGTGTATACCTCAAAATGGTCTTTTTAAGGGTTGT